AATTGGCTCAGGACAGAGCAGAGTTCAAAGCTGTTGTACAGAGAGAAGGTCACTATGAGTTGGAGTCCACTCAAAACCATTTAACAACATTTCCCAAATGTTCCTTTTTTTTAAGAGTTTAGTGAAAATGGAAGAAAGATTAATATTGGATTCCACACCTAACCTTGCCTACGACTGTTATGTTGACAGGTGCCACTGGGTTAAATACAATCCAGAGAGATCATCTGAACTCTGACCTAATCTGTGCCATCCTCACCACTGCTGACAAACCACTGCTGTAGTCACTGTATCCATTCATCTGGCTGAGGGTCTTCCTCTCTTTCGCCGTCCCTCCACCTTGCCAAGAATGCGTTCACTTTCAATGAATGGTCTCTCCTATCAACATGCCCAAAGTATGTGAGATGAAGGCTTTACCATCTTTGCCCCCAAGGAACATTCTGACTGTATCTTCTCCAAGCCTTACTGTTTGTGGTTGGTTTGTTTTTTTTTTTGGCAGTCCACAGGATATTCAGTACTTCTCCACAGCTCAAAGGTGTAATTTTTTTCTGTCATCCTAACACAGATTCTCAGCAATTGAATGAATGCTAACTCAGATGCTTAGCAACTGATTGAAGACCATGGTCTTAATCAGGCACACCTTAGTCCTCAAACTGACATCACTGCTCCTCAATAATTGGGAGGGGTCCCTGACTACAGACTTTCCCAGTACATTATGACTCCTAATCTTCTGACTACTGGTATCAAAGGATTCAAGCTGTGTACCAAATAAGGTGAAGTCATTAACCATTTCAATCTTTTCTCCACCTATCAAAATGCTGCTTATTTGGTCCAGGGGCAAACATTGTTGTCTTCTTGACACTGAGATACAATCCATATTATTAAAGGCTGTATTCTCTGATCTTATGCAGCAAGTACTTCAAATCCTCCTCACTTTCAGCAAGTAAGGTTGTGTCATCTGCAAAATGAAGATCCCAATGCCACATTCTTCTTCCTAGAGCCCAGATTCTTAAATAATTTATCAGCATACATAAATATACAATAGATATGGAGAGAGAATATAACCTTGACAAACACCTTTTCAAATTTTAAGCATGCAGTGTTTCCTCTGTTCACACAACAGCCTTCTCGGTCTATGTATAGGTTTTACATGAACATAATTAATTATTCTGGATTTCTCATTCTTCTCTATGTTAACCATAATTTGTTATGGTCCACAGAATCAAATGTCTTTAATAGTCAATGAAACAAAGGCATACTTCTCATATTCTCTGTTTTTGGCCTGTATCCACCTGACATTAGCAATAATATTCCTGGTGATACTGCCAGTTTTAAACCCACTGAACTTCCGGCCGTTTTCTATGTATTGTTCTAGCTGTTTTAAAATGATCAGCAGTATTTTGCTTGCATGTGATAATAATATTACTCGGTAATTTCCACATTCTGTTGAGCCATGTTTCTTGGAAATGGGGACATAATCAGATTTCTCCCAGTTGGTCATTCATGCAGCTGCTCACATCTCCTGGCATAGACTGGTTAGCTAAAACATAACAACTAGTATACAATTCATTTCTGGGGCCTTATAATGCTTTCAACACAGCTTGAACTCTTCCTTCATTGGCTCTTGATCATATGGCACATCCTTAGATATTTCAGAGTTGGCCAATTCTTCCCGGTACAGTGATTCTGTGTAGTCTCTCCATCTTTTGATGCTTCCTGGATCATTCAATATTTTGCCTATCACCTCTCTCAGTACTGCAACTTGAGGCTTAAATTTGTTTTTCTGTTCTCCCAACTTCAGAAATGCTGACTGAGTTCTCTTTTTATTTTCCAATTCCAGCTCTCTGAACATTCCGTTATAATAGTTTGCTTTGTCTTCTCAAGCTGCCTTTTGAAATCTTCTGTTCAGCTCTTTCACTTCAGCATCTCTTCTCTTTGTTTGGTTTCTCAACACTAGAGCAATTTTCAGGGTCTCTTCTGGCATTCATTTTGTCTTTTTCTGTCTTCTCATGGTTATGACCTTTTACTCTCTTCATGGCTAATATCCTTGATGTCATTCCACAATGCTGTGTTATTTTTGACAACACTGCCCTTTGCTTTCTGGGCAAATCTTATTTTAGAGTATACTGTTCTGGAAGTCAGTCTCTTGACAACGGTAAAAAAGACATTGAATAATTAAAACATACATACACTGCATGTTACCTAAGTATTTATTATATAAATGTTTTAAAGTACTCAAGTCAAATATTAAATAAATAATAACAGTTAAGTGTGTGAGCTGAAAAATACCCATTTACTAGAGAGAATCCGAGAGCAGGGTGGAATTGTAGAAAGAGGACTGGGTTTTTAAGTCAGACAAAACCAAAACCAGTGGCATTTATTCCATCTCCCAATTACCCTGTGTGTGTCAGTCAAGTTGATTTCAACTCCATAACCTATGTGACCGAGTACAAAACCATGGAGTTTTCTTGGCTACAGTTTTTCTGGAAGCCTATCAACAGGCCTTTCTTCTGTGGGGCTTTTGGGAAAGTTTAGCAACCAAGCATTTAACTGTTTGTACCACCAGAGTTGTTTGTCTTGTAGAATCAAACTATCAAATTCAATTCTACCACCTATTACGGTGATTTAGTCCAAAGCTAAATTAGCATTCTGCCCTCCCCAGTCTAATCTCCAGAATGCAAACAGAATTCTTTAACTCAGTTGATTCTGACTCACGGCAACTCCATGTACACAAAATAGAAAGCAATAATCTTCCAGAAGCAGATTGCTAATCCTGTCTGCCAAGTTACCTCTGTGTGGGTTCCAGTACGTCACTTTTTTTAATTCTGAGTTTTACAAAGTAGATTATTTTCTTATTCAACCATTCACAGATATTTTGTTTTAAACTACTAAGTATATGGACTACTCAAACTACTAGGGAGATTTGACTGGCTTTGCCAGGATTAAAAATTAAATATGAAATTTCTCATTCTTAGATTTGAAATAAGATTAAAGTACACCCCTTCACCACTAAGAGTTAATAGTAGACAAAAAATCCCAGTTAATGCAATTAGATTACAGGAAAATAAATTAATGGTATATAGATTGGGAAAAAATAAAACTGTCTTTGTTTCTAAATGATTACTATAAAGAAAATCCCAAAGAAAAGTCCAACAGAACTCTACAAAGTCTAGCCTGATTATAACCTAATTATAATTGGGTTGTTTTCAGGTGCCATTCAGTCGACTACCACTCAGAATTTCTATGAGCAACAGACTGTAATCTTGACCTGTTTTGAACCATCCTCACAATCTCCAACATGCTCAAGCCCATTCTGTTACAGTCACTTTGTCAATCTTGTTGAGGCTCTTTTTCTTTTTCGTTGACCCTCTAACTTTTCCCAGCATGATGTTCTTTTTCCAAGGACCGGTGTCTCCTGGCAACATGCTCAAAGTATGTTAAGATGAAGTTTCACCATGCTTGCCTTTATTCTAGGGAGGACCCTAGTTACTCTTCCTCCAAGACAGACTGGTAGTTCAGAGGATACTCAATACTCTTTGCTAACACCATAATTCAAAGGCATCAAATTCTCTTAGGTTTTTCCTTATTCACCATTCAACTTCAACATGCATATGATGCACGACTTGGGTCAGACTCATCTTGAATCTTTAAACTGACATCCTTCCTTACTTTTTAACACTTTGCAGAGGTCCTTGATAGCAGATTCTTCCAATGTAACATGTCTTTAGATTTCCTGACTACTACTACTACCTATAAGTGTTGACTGTGAATTAAGTAAAAGGAAATCATTGACAAATTTGAATCTTTTCTCTAGCAAGATGTTGCCTATTAGTCCAGTGGTAAAAATTTTTGTCTTCTTGACGGTGAAGGTTCAATCTATACTGAAAGTTGTAGTATTCTGGTCTTCTTTAATAAGCACTTCAACTCTTCATTTTCTGCAGAGTTATATCATCTGTATTTCAATGATTTTTGCATTTTGTTGGATCTCCTTTTCTTTTACATGAGAATAAATATGGATCTCTTTCAGGTGGTTGGCCAGGTAGCTGTCTTCCAAACTTTTTGGCATAGTATGCATGGAGTTGCATCTGTTTGCTGGAACTTCTCAACTGGTATTCTGTCAATTCCTGGAGCCTTATTTTTTTCCTGTGCTATCAGTGCAGCTTCAACTTCCTTTACTATTTCTTCATTTATACTACCTATTTCTTCATTTATTCCACTAACTACAAAACAAATACCAATGAGTTTGATTCAACAGTGTTGCCTCACACACCACGAGGGTTAATAAGAAAGCTATATATTTATACACACTTTATTTCCCTTTCAAATTTGATATAAATTCTAAAACTCAAATGTAGCCCACCACCCTGTAGCAAAGGTATCAGATAAAACCCAAATCCCATTTAGTGGTTCCCAACTACAGTGACCCCCATGTGTCTAAACCTGACACCAATTTTACAGTCCTTTTTCCTTTCATTATGCCACACAATATATACTGTTCTTTAAATCTGAAAAATCCTGAGATCAGCTTTCACTCTAAGAGATGAGTTATGATTCCTATAATTATTTTCCAGATAATCTGGATTTTGGCCTCAGATTGTCTACAACCACTCTTCTACATATGTCAATTTCTTAATGCATTAAAAGCAATCAAACAAGTTAGAAAACTGCATCTCCTAAGATAATAAGTTGTCAATAAAGATCTCTATGTGAAGTACACTTGAAAAATTATCTCCCAAAACATACTTTTTATGGTATCAAAATCAAGGAGTTTTCAGATTAAGTTAAATTTGAGAACTTCTTGATTTTGATGTTATAAAAAGTATATTCGTTTTAACTCAAGAGTATTAATTTGTTGTTCTAACAAGTCAACACTGCCTTTTCAGGTTCTTTAAAAGGTAAAAATAAACCAAGTGAAGAAAAAAAAAGATCCACTCATACCATAGGCCACCTCCAACACCAGCCAAAACTCAAAACTATACAGTTATTCTTAATTTCAGACTTACTATGACGTTTAAATTCCTTCTGTAGTTTACTGATCTGGTTGCTTTTTATCCTGTTTCCAGATAGAGTTTTCACTTTCTTTGGTTTCAATGTAGTCTTTAGACTGGGCCCTGCCCTTGCATCTACCACCTGGAAGAAAATACTGAATATTTAATACCATTTTTAAATGACATCTGTGTATCCCTTTAGTTTGAACCCAGGCCTATTTGAGGGAGTCAATTTGAGAACCACAGTTTTATGTTGAGTGTTTAAGGCTTCATGTGCACTCATAACTGATACATGATATTAAAGAGTAATACTAGTTATCAGGTTTTTAAAGTGCGTAACAGCAGTAGTTTACTAGAAAACAAAACAAAAAACCACTATAACAAAACAGAGAAAAATCAACAAAACTGCAAATAGATGTATGGCTGTGAGAATGATCCAAGGTAAGAAAGCCAACCTTAACACCAAGTGACGTTTCTAAAGGATGCTTTACTATTTATGGAAAAATTTTAACTATCTGATTACCTTCACTACAAATCAGTAAATGGATTATTTATGTTACTCTAGTTTTAGGCTGAAGGTAAACAAGTTAACAGAAATAATTTATTTTGCTTTATATCACTAACTAGAAACTATGGATGAGTGAGTGGCAAGGCCACGAGACAAACTGAGGTCTTCAGATCATGCATTGTGCTCTTTTCACCAAACACCCTTAATCCCTGAGGTCAACTCCTAAATGGAAATAACATGGTCTTCTAGAGTTTACTATCAGCTATGAAACTTGCTCTGTATGATTCCTCAGCCTCCACTGTTTTATGTATTCATTCATATTAAATATTTACAGATTTCTGCCTCTGTCTGTAAAAAAATTAGACATAGTTTTCAAAATAGCAATTTGGATCTATTCCCTTTTTTGTTAACAGACTCACAGAAATCTATGATAGTAATGTGTCTCCAAAGGACAGTGGTAAAGGTAGTATAGAGGAAAAAAGTAAGATAAACACCTTGTTACTTGAAGAAAAAACCATTTAGAGTAAATCTGATAAATGTTAGAAAAATTAAATAAGTCATAATTATTGCTTTATAGTTAATGAAACATTTAAGAGACATGGAAAAAAAATAGGGCACACAGAACATTTAATTTTATGTCTCTGTGATCTCAACTATACTGAAACATAGAAAATAAAGCTTTCAACATATATAAATTATCTCCTTCAATCCTCATTACAATTCTATTAGACAGCTTTACATTTTATAAATGCAACCTGCCCAAAGATCAAAGTTTGTTAAGTGGGGTAAAGGTAGGAATTCAAATCCAAGTATGACTCCAAAACTATGTGCTTTAAACAGCCTTAAGGAAACACCACATGCAAGATAATTTGCTTCCAAACATGCCAAAATGTAAAGTGATTATATCTGAGTAATTGCTAGGTGTTTTTCTTTATTCTTTTCAAGCTCTTCCACCCTAGGAATGTATTATTTCCTAACTTAGGGTAAATATTACATTCAAACAAAATAGAAGTATAACAGACTCAACAGCAACTAATAGAAAAATTAACAGCAACAGTAATAGAAAACGAACTAACATGATTCCAATTTTTTTTTGATCCTGCTGGCAACTTCTTCCATCTTTTCACAAGCAGAACACAGGCATTGCAGATGTCTCCTGAGCGAGTTTCATGCAACCTGATAAGAAAACAATCAAGCCTTTATTACTCTCTCTTATTTAAAGGAATTCTTACAAATTCATTCCTTTTTTTTTTCCAGTAAAACTATACAAATCATGTACATTAATGACTGGATAAAACAGAGTACATGTATAAAATACACTTTTAATGAATTATTATATATAAACCAATAAATTTTTTAAAATATTATACACATTTATAATTTATTGATAAATTGTTAGTAATCCTAGATTATCTCATTTCATTGTAATATGTAAGAAAAAGAATTAACTTCCAGATTCAATGAAACAACTCTATGTATTTTAATTTGGAGAAGAGATCCTGGTTATCACAAATTTTAAATCTTAATATATACGGATATCACCTAACAAAAATTTTTTAAGTCATGATATTCTAGTTTCAATACAAAAAGTATTGAAATGTTTTAAAGTTATTCTATTTTCATAAGGTAGAAAATTCTATAATAGCAGTCACCAAATTTCAAATATTACATTAGAGGCATTCTCACTTATCCATTTTTCTTGCAATATAAATATACAAGAAAAAAAATCACAGACAGTATATTATGTGTGTTACATTAAAAAAAGACATTAAGATTATTATTTTGAAAAGCAAGGACAGTGTCAGAATAAAAGAACAAATGTTTTAATAAGAAAAACAATGTGAAGAAACAATTTCTAACACAGAAACTTAATTTCTAATATATCAACATTAAATATTTTTATCAAAGTACTTGTTGCTATAAAGTATTTACTAAAGTACTCTACTTTACTAAGCAGGGATTTGGGGAACTCTGGTGGTATAGTCCCCAGGGAGTGGTTGCACCTCTAGTGGTTCAAATCCACCAACAGCTCCAAGGAAAAAGATGGGCAATCTCCTCTCATGTGATTTATAAACATGCAACCTTGAAACTCTGGCGCTTTGGCCAAGTTGGTTCTGACTTAGTAACAATGAGCAGGAGTTTAAAGCAGAGGTTTGTTGTCAAAAGATAAGGAATAAAATTATTAACTGAAAACATACCATGCAAAGTTGCAAGAAGGGGTTAAAACTTTGTTGCTACCATTTTATTTCAATAGGTTAAAGTATGTTTACAAAAACTATACAAAGGGAGAACTATTAAGAGTAGTAAAAGAAAATAAGGGCAATTAAAAAAGATTGCTTTATACATCCTGAAGTTAACAAACAGGTTTCTTTTAACTATGCAAGGAACTTCACAATTAATTCTGTAGGTCTCCATAAGAGCATGGGCTTTCAATAGGCTGGGGATTAGAGTAACATTTAAATCAAGTAACACACCGCTCCAATCACCTGGCCTGGAAATCTTTAGATTCTGCTGTTTTTCTATCAGTTGTAAGGATGGCTGGCACACACACACACACATACACACCACACACACACACACACACACACACACACACGTTAGTCACATCAAATCACCTTACCCAAAACAGCTCTGGAAGTCTTTTTCATAGCGTTTACTGTCAGTGAATCGAGAACTGGAGGACTTAGCTCTGCAAATACAGCAGCCCTCTATACTTCGGTACATCTTTGGCTTGTGAAAACCAAACATCTTTTCTTCTGGGCAATAGTCTGTAAAGCCAACGGAATTGACACAGCTTTGTTAAGGGTTAGAACAAGAAATCATTAAAGAGAGTTGTTCCCCTCTGCCCTGAAGCAACATAATAGTATTACTTGACCAAGGCTGAACAAGCAGGATCTGGAAATACCTACTCTTGTATCTCCTTCCATTCTTCACATTATCACAAGATTGGCTATAAAGCATAATAGATCAGTTATTTGAGAAGACCTCAATTACCTCCCCCTATACTCTTGAGATAGCAGTCTCTGAAAATAGATTAAGAATGTGTTTTAAAAATCAAGATTTTAAACAAAAAGTACCTCAAAACTTGCTCCATAATCCTGAAAAAAATAAATATCACACATAAAGATACATGTTAAAATTCAGGTAAAGGTACATCTTCTTATTATGCATCTCTGCATTAATATGATTCCCCTCTAAAGAGGTTGTGTTGTTATGTGTTGTCAAGTCACCTGCATCTCAGTGACCCTATACACAACAGCCCTAAAACCTGCTCTGTCCTGTGAAATTCTGTCTCTGACACATCTACCCACATTACCCCAGTCACTGAATCAATCCACCTCACAGAAGGTCTTCCTCTCCTGTGCTGTCCCTCTACCCTCCCAAGCATGATGCCCTTCTCCAAGGACTGGTCCTTCCTTGCAATATGTTCACAGTAAGTCAGACAAAGCTTCGGAATCTTTTCCTCCAAGGAGCAGCCTGATTTAACCCTCTGCAGAATGATCCTGTTCATTTTCTTAACAGTGCATGGTACATCCAACTCTTCTCCAACACCACAGCTCAAAGGCATCAATTCTTCTTCTATCCTCACTAGTCACTGCCCAACTCTCTGGTGCATAACAAGTGACTGCAAAGGCCATGGGATGTATCAGGTGCACCTTAGTTTCCAGAGTGACACCACTGTTGTTCAGTACTTTGGAGAGGTCTCTAACAGCAGACTTTCCCATCATAATACGTCTTTTAATTTCCTGGCTGCTGGTGCCAAGAGTGTTTTCCTTGGAGCCAAGCAAACAAAAGCTGTGAACAATCTCATTCTCTTCCCCATCTATCATCATGCTGCCAAGTGGTCCAGTGGTGAGAATCTTTGTCTTCTTGATACTGAGCCTCAATCCATATTGAAGGTTCCAAGTCCTTGACCTTCGGCAGCAAGTGCTTCAGGTCCTCCTCAGTTTCAGCAAGCAGTAAGGCAGATTGTGAGACATTTAATTATGACCACCAACTACTAAGTATACAAGTAGCTCAAGCTCTATCAAACCCAAGAGGGGATTTCTTCTGTGCTAAGTGGGAAATTCCAAGCAGGCAAATTCCACCCGAACTTGAAACTGCTGAAAAGAAAATGTAAATTTCACAAAAATCCAGAGTGAAAATTTACGAAAAATAGCTGTAAAGCTTGTTTCTGACCAACTAAAAATGAGCTCATGCTGCCTACTTCCCTATTACTCAGATTTTGGAACTCTTCTAGAAGACTCTTTCACTGTGAGTATTAATAATAGAGGGAAGTAGATGTCCAAGAAACAGAGGAAAATATAAACTGAGATTTGAATGTCCCCATCCTTACCTTAAAAAAGTTAAAAGTAAAAACAAAAATAACACCTTGGGAGAAATAATTTAGAATATCCAAAAGAGGAGCAAACTCTACCAGAACACTTGAACTATGAGAGGTGATAAAAAGGTGATGATCCCCAAGGACAAGGTCAGAGTGGGAAGGAATGCCCATGCTTCATATAAAGTATAAAAAAGTAAAATGAATTAACTTATTAGCTTTGTTCCCATAGTTTTAGGAGCTATCATCATAGAACATCATTCTTTTAAAACTGGTTCATAAATAAATTTTTATCTCTGAGTAAAATAAAAACTCTGGCATTTGTCTTTGGATTAACTCTTACCTGATCCCATTCCAATTCTGGTTAGTGTTCCAGCGTATTACTGAAAGTGATTCAGAGAACTAACCATACAGCTATCCAGATGGGATTATTTTTTTGTTTTGGTGTTTGAAGTGACAATTCAAAAATATAAAAAAGTTTTATAATTTTTAAGAATATATTTTTAGGGGAGCTCTGGTGGCCTAGTGGCAAGAAGCTGCAACTACAATCCCAGAGGTGCACGGTTCGAATCCACCAGTTGCTCTGCCGGGGAAGGAGGGGTAATCTCCTCCTGTACCAGTCAGATCTGATTTGACAGTACACTCACACAAAAAAAAATAAAATTTTAAAAAAAAAAAGAATATATTTTTATTAGCAAATAACCAGGTAAACAATGATAACTTCCTTTTCAATAGTAGCAATTCTGAATCAAGTACTCATTATCAATGCTTGTGTCAAGAGAGGTAAGCAAAAAAGGGGAGAGAGCAAGGGCCGAAGGCCACCGATGTACTTCAGTAATTACATTTAGTACAAAGTTATCTTAGTGTTAAAAGAGCGGTTAAAGCAAAAATATTCTGAGTTGATTGTTGATGTCAGTGCACTGTGTGAGAACTTTTTTTCCTGAAGAGAAAAATTACCATGGAATCATATATAGTAAGGAAAGCATGGATAGTGAAGATTTAAGCAAACAAAACCCCCATGAAAGAGAAAGAAATGGACTATTGGTGTCATTTTGGAAAAAACACATCAAATGGCACATCATTATAGAAGGAAGGGAAAAAAAGAGAAGTTACTGCATTAATTTGTCTATTACTATTTTAAAGGCAAAAATTTAACTGTTATCCTCACACTTACCTTTCGTTTTTCCCATACTCTCCAATACTCTACATTACCAACAAGAAGGTAAAAATGCACAGTTCCCCTCTACAGTCTCTCGCTTCATCAACAAGCTTTAGGAAATTTCAGCCTTTTTATTCAGCAAAGACAAAAGAAGTACAGCAAGAAATGCCAGTTCATTCCAGTAATACACAGATCAAATCCTATTACAAGATTCCTCTCTCTCCCTCACCAGATCCTCCCTCTCCCCAAATAAACTTATCATCAAAACTATACAGATAATGTCTGAAAGGTAAATAAAAATGATCTTCATTGAGGAGGAAATCTGACTAGGAAACCACAGTTTGTAGCAGTGATGCTTGCAGGTTGTTATGGAATGCTATGACCATACCTAAATGCTGAGGCTGCCCCTGAAATCAATACTAAATCAAGTACTCATTTGTAATGTGAGGGGAGTTTTTTGTTGCTGATAAAGTGCTCCACAAAACTTAACAACCCCTGTAAAATACTACGTTCTTCAGTTTAAAAACATTCTCCTTAAACAGGGAACACAAAACTATACTGCCTTATGGTTCATAATCCTTCTTGCAAATATCTCTGTGACTTTACTATCATACAGTTGAAATTTTGTCTAATAGACTAAAGAGGGAGCTCCAGAGGCTTAGTGGTAAGGAGTTGCACTGCTCCATGAGAGCCACATGGATCAACGTCACCAGCTGCTCCTTAGAGAAATGACAGTCAATCTCCTCCCATATGATTAACTGCCTATGAAAATCCATTGGTTATGAGTCAGTGCCAAATAGATGGTACATAATGACAACCAAAAAATACCCCCAAATTCAAACCTAATCCATAGTCATCAAGTAGATTCTCCAATGACTAAGAGAGAGAGAAGAACTGCCCCACTTTGGTTTCCAAGTCTATAAATCATTCCACATGCAGACTGCCACATCTTGCCCAGGAGTGAGTTAGAACCACTGAAATTCTGGTTAGCAGCTGAGTACTTTAACCCCTGTGTCAGCAGGGTTCTACTCCTAAACTGAAGTGCGCTCTAAATCCCAGAACTGACTCTCTCTTCTAGGCAGTTCCTAAAAATAAATTCAGTGAGGACAGCAGACACTCAACATACAAAGAGAGGATGAACATTCTAACGGATGACTACTTAATAGACCTATTAAACCTTTTCTAAACTTATCCCCATACTTGAGAGGCACCTGGGAATCTGCAGCGAATACACAGGGGTTTCATTTTGGGCTTTGTTTACAGCAACCCAGTTAAGCAGTGATTGGTGTTTAACTATTTTATGCTTTGGGGAACCCTCAGTTTAACAAACTCTAGAGGCCTGTATCTTCACAAAATCTATAGGCCTGTTCATGTAAAATTAAAAAAAAAAACTCCAAGCAATCATATCAACCAAAAAACCCCCACACTTAATCTCTAGAGAAAAATCAAGGGCACAAAACGGCTTCTGAAACTAAACTATATTATATACTTGAGGAGTTGGTAGTGGGTGGGGCAAACTTAAATTTTAAACTGAGATTTCAATTGTTACAAATAACCCATCATTTCCATTCACAGAATATTGCCACATCTGTGCAGTACTTAATGATCCCTACAATTAACTCATTTTATTTGTTCAAATGGCACATCTAGATATTAAACTATGAGACTTTTTCAAACATCTATTCTCATAGATGTCACCTAACACAACACTGTGCTTTAATATACAATGAAACTAATGCTTATCTGCCTTTAAGTGAGATCTGACCCCATATTTTCTCATCCTAAGCAGGTGTTTAGGGAAAGTTGAAGAAAATAAATACTTTGAAATAAAGCAAAAATTAGGAAGAGCATAAAATGCTGTCATTTATCTTCTAAAGTCTGACAGTGGTGATAGTTGTCCAACTCTAAGAATTTATTAAACACTACTTAACTAGTGTTAAGTAAAAGACTGAATTTCACAGCCTATGAATTGGATCTTAGTAAGCCTTATTTTTTTTTTAAGAAAAATAAAAAGAACTGGGTAAGAAATTATTGTCTGTTGTTAAACTGTAATCTCAGCATCTAGGAAAGTGTCAGGCAGACAGTAGGTACCAAATAAATTTCCCTTAAAGCTATCCCTTGTACAGCAACTTACATTTTTTATAAAGCACTTTCACTGATATTATTTGTTCTGCCATTGTCAGCGAAATACCTACAAATATCTTAAATACTTTCTCAGTTAAAAACAAATCAACGACACTAAAAACCATAGTTGTCTAATTTAACTGAGTCTCTCAAAAATTA